AAAAAATTATTCAAATAATATGAGTAGTTAATTTTTAATTTAGGCCTCAAAATATCCCCTGCTTTTATACCTGCCTGAAAGATGAGGGAAGGCGTGTGATAAAAATTCACCGCACCAGAAGTGGGAAGGGTTAAGGGATATGGATTTTTAACCCCGCTATTCCTGTTTATATTTCTGCCTTTCTGCAGACGTTTCACGCAGGTGTCCGTCAAATCTTCCCGAAAGGGTCGCAATTTGCTTTAATTTCTTGTAGAAAACCACCGTGGCCGTGGACATGGGGAGGGAGGGTGACTGCAAATAACTTCAGCTGTGATTCTTCACCTTTTTTTTTATTTTTACGTAAAATCAGAAAAAGATGCGAGGCCAGTTAAATCGTATCCTTGGAGTCCATCGTTTTTATTTAGTTGGAACTTGATCTCGTGGCAAATTACGAGAACGGGGATCGGAGTTATCAGTGTCTCGTTCATGCCTCTGCTATTGATTTTCCTGAGCAAATTATTTAATTTTTTTTAAATCTATCGGCAAAATGGGGATAACAATGCTGACTGATGTAATGTGGTCAAAGCTCTTGAGATTCCGCAAGGAAAGCCAGTTTAGAAACCCCAGCGGGTACCTGCATCGGGAAGAACTGAGAAGCTTGAGTCACCCACTGAGTAATGAAAACGGCATAAGGACCAAAGGCTAAACCTTGGGTTTGGCGCTCAGGTAACGCAGGGGCCTAACGCTGCCGCTGCTTGCTGGGTGCGTGCCCCTTTGGGGGGGTGCTGGGTGCATACCCCTTTGGGGGGGACTGGGTGCATCCCCCTTGGGGCAGGGGGGCTTTATGCTTACCCCTTTTGGGGGGGGCTGAGTGCTTACCTTTTTGGAGGGCGCTGGGTGCGTGCCCCTTTGGGGGGGGCTGGATGCATACCCCTTTGGGGGGGGCTGGGTGCTTACCCCTTTGGGGGGTATCTGTGTGCTGGGGTGTTCTCCACGAGGATGTATAGAAATGGTTTCAGAGGCCTGGTGGGTTTGCTCTCTCTACCCTAAATTTTGAAAGCGCTTCAGTGCTTGTGTCCAAACTTCATCCTTCTCTACTGGGTGAGAGAACTCCAGCCGGGTTTGGGTGCTCCCGGCAGCTGCCCTGCACTGGCGAGGCGTCAGCTCTGCCCGGGGACGAAATCGCTGCCCCCCGCTCCCCGGATTGCCTCCCGTGCAGCTGGTCTTTATTTCCCTACGCTTGCGGCATACGTGCGCCAATGGAGCATAACATATACGTAACAGAATAACGCCTGAATGCAGATTTATATAGGGTGCCGTTGCCGGAGCTAGGTTTCTGCTAAGCTACTGCTCGAGGGAACTCTGCCCCGGGAGTCGCACCCTCCTTTTTAATGAACCCTCATTTTTAATGAAAGCAGCTTTAGTCGGCTTGTTTCGTAATGACCGTTTCGAACAGAAGGTGCGTGTAAATCATCACTTAATTTTTACGAGGGCAGATGTTTTCATTTTTTGTTTAAAGAGGTTGATTTTAGGGAGATTTCCAGCAAGACAGATGCCACCCCCCGCTTGCGGTGACTTCAGTACGCGCCGGCCGGGCCAGCCCGCTGGAGCGCGGTCGCACCTCCGTCGCATCGCCTTCTCCCTCCGTCCCCGCGAGCGGGCGTTCTCCTTTCCCGCAGCCCCCGTCAGCGGGGCTGTTCCGGGGCTAATTACCTCTTTACTGCGCTGACTCTAATGTGACATGTTTATTGCCTTAACTAACAACTCATTAGCTTAGTTGATGTTTTTGTCAATATTAATTCGTTCATTTAAGCCAAGTCAAAGCTTAAACAAAGATGTCCAGGCTGAGAAACGGGCAGCAGAATGACTTTTGTTTAGTTCAGCTTTTCCCTTCGCTCGGTTTACCCAAGGGTGGGTGTCGCAGGAGCCGTGCTGGGAGCATCCCTAGGGAAAAGGCGGGCATGTCTCACTGCAGTAACATTTGAGCCATCACGCTTTTTAGTAAGGCTCTTACGTTTGAGACCTAAAATTCACGTGGAGCAGAGCCTCGTGGCCGGCCGGGCGCTTCAAGAGGCAGCTTTTGGTGGTTCTGTTACGCACGAATCCGGGATTCGCGTGGAGGGACTGGAAAAGCCTGTCTGTCGTTGGCTTCTCTGGGTGCTTGAAATGACGGGCAGCTCGTGGGGGGACAGTCCCGAAAACGAAAGGGAAACCTGTTAAAATCAATAGGCTCTCTATCCCAACAGCAAGGCAAATGAACGTTTTGAAGAGGTAAGAAATAATTGTGTAGCGATAACGATAAGTTATCTTTGTCTGGAAGCGCTGCTTGTTTTAGCCCGCCTACACATTTATATCTATGTAATGATTTTTAGAAAAGAATAGTGTATTAAATGAAATCAGTAGCCATGTTTCCTCGATACGCAGAGCCCAGATCAGAATTCAGGTACGTTGAAGTTGTTTGGACATCGTTTCTCTTCCTCCCCTTAAGCTAAGATGAGCGGAAACGGCCTCAAGTTGTGCCAGGGCAGGGTGAGGTTGGCCATGGGGAACAATTCCTTCCCCTTGGGGCTGTCAGGGGCTGGAAGGGGCTGCCCAGGGAAGGGGTCGAGTCCCCACCCCGGGGGGGATTTAACAGCTGGGCAGCCGAGGTGCTGAGGGGACGGGGTTTAGGGAACGGTTGGGCTCGATGATCTTAAAGGGCTTTTCCAACCTCAGTGATTCCATGATTCTATTCTCTATTTCCCTCTGAAAGAAGAGGCGCTGTGGGGAGGCAGGAGGGTGAGGCGGTGAGGATGGCACCGGTGCCGAGGTACGGTGAGCCCGGCGCCCGAGGCAGGCCTGCAGCCCTCGGAAGGGCGACTCCTTCAACACCCAGAGCTCAGGGCCAGAAGCGGCGCCGCCCTCCAGTCCGGCCCCCCCTGGGCCCGGGGGCTCGCTGCCCTTTCCCGGGAGCTGCCTGCTTCACCCGCCGGCGCTCGGCTTCGGGAAGGCGGCACGGCTCAGAACAGACCACAGCCCTGCCCCGAAGCCCGAGAGCGCTGCACCGATAGTTTGTAAAAATGTGTAAGATATGTGTGAGGCAGCGGGTCTATAAAAATGGCCTAAGGCCCTTTCCTATCTGAGAGACGGTTCTCAGTTTTAATTGCTTTTTTATATACGTCTAATGCTCATTTACAGAGCCGCAACACTGGAATGGTGAAAATTATACATCTCCTTGTGGGCTTTCAGGCAACCCTTCTGGACACACAGCTTGTCTGTGGGCCCACCCCAGCCCCCCCATTGCTGTTTAAATGCTGACGCGCTGTCGAGGGTTTCCTTAGCAAAGGCCCAGGCAGGTTCGGGAGGTGCTGAGGTCTGGGAGCAAGCGGTGTCCCGTCACGCATCCCAAGACAGTGATACAGGGGCTTTACAAATCGTTTTGTTCCCCTTCCCAAAGAAAGCATAACTAATCCCTGTGCATCTGGCATTGAGGAGGGGTCAGCAGGGAGGATATTTTGCAAGGAAATATAAAATCCTTGCTGTAAAATTGGGTGTCTGCTTCCCGAATGGCCCCCGTCTGCCGGCGATGCTGCCGAGCGTCTCGGTGACAGCCCGAGGAGCATTGCTGGCTCCTCACCAGGGCTCGCTTCTCTGCCGTCCTCAAAACCCCTCCTGGGGCAAGAGCAGGGGAAGCAGGCACATCCCCCGAGCTCCGTGTCCCAGTTTACCAGCTTGTCAACGCGCGGGGTTTTTTTGCGGCTTGCTTTTTCCGCTTTGCGAGAGGGAGCTGCCTGGCTGAAGGTTTGCCGGGGAGGACACGGGGGCGAGGCCCCGGCAGCGCCGGGCGGAGGCGTGGTGGTCGGCCCCGCTGCTGGGGAGCCGTGCCCACCACGGGCTCCGGGCAAGGGGAGTACAACGTCGCGGCATCGTCCCTGCAGCTGTGTCCCCAGACAGGTCACTTCAATTAAACGTCATCCCTGCTGTTGCCGAGGCGCTGTCATCACGGTGGAGCACAGGATTTTGGTTAAAGAACAGAGCGAGTGGTGCCACGGGCTCCGAGCCCCCGTTTGGCAACGAGCAGGGTTTTGGTGGAGAGTTTGGGGGAGCCCAGGATGACTTTGTGCTGTTCCTCACTCAGCTGAGCGCATCCAGCGTGGGCTGCTCCTCGCCGAGATCCGGAGGCAAAAGTGGGTAATCTCAGCAGGGTTTCTTTCAACTGGTGTTTTCCCAAGTTTAATCTCGTCAGCTTGTTTTTCTTAGACATCCCTTCAAAAGGATGTACTTCTTTTTCTGAAAATGTTATTACCTATGTTAACATTACTGCAGATTTTCAGGGGGTTCTTAGCAAGTGTCTGTTGAAGGGAGGATTTTTTCCATCGTTTCTGTTTTGATGTATCTTGTCGCTTCTGTTTTGATGTGTTTTGTCGTTTCTGATTTGATATAGTCTGACCTTCTTTTGCACAATTTTCAGGCAGAAACATTTAGGCATGTAGAGTTATTTTTTCCAAAAATATATTTACTACTACTTGTTTCGTAGTGAAAATACTATGTTTAAGCCAACGCTGGCAGTGTTGGCCTGTTTGATTCGGATCCCCGTGCCGTGTAGACTGATGCCTTCTAGCACCGAACTGCCCATCGTTGCCAGGGAGAATGCTTTAAAATTCTCGGAGGCAGC